TTTCAATCGGTTGGGAACTTTGAAGAAGCATCAGCGAATTCACACAGGAGAGAAACCTTACAAATGTTCTCACTGTCAGAAATGCTTCAATGAGAGAGGAAATTTGAAAAGACATCAAAGAATCCATGCTAGAGAGAACCTTAATATCATACAAGAATTCATACTAGAAAGTGACCATATAAATGTTATCAATGTGGGGAAGACGTCTACAGGGCAAGAATTCTGAAGAAACATAAAAAAAAACTACTTGTGGGACACCTTACAGATGTTCTCAATAAGCAATGTCTAGGAGATGACATGAAGAACCATTAAAGATCTCCACTTCCTTATACTTGTAAGGAAAACCTCTTGGCAATAGTCATGATGACTCATTCCCTTTCATTCCAGAGTGTAAAGTAGGAGAATGAAGGTAAGAAGGATAGATTCCAGTTAAATGCCAGGAAATACTTCAAACCATTCATCCATCATAAGAACGCTTGAGAGGTTGGACCAGTTATCCAGAGAGGTGCTGGACTCCCTTTCACAGGAGGTGTTCAAGCAGAGTCTGGAAAGACATTTCTCATGGGTGTTTTGATAGGGATTCCTGCACATAAGTGGGTTTAGATTTGATGGCCAAAACGCTATTCCTGACTCTTTGTTCTGTATGAAAGTTCTCATTGAGGTAAAGTCTTCAACCAGATAGCAATTCTGAAGAGCCATCAGACAGTCCAGACTTAAGAGAGATGATACAAGTGTTCTCAGCCTGGGGGTGCACCCGCATGGCACAAGGGCAAAATTTCAATAAGGGAATCCGTAGCACCCCGTACGTGAATGAGAAGAGTTTTAAGTGGAGGATGCTAATTTGAGAATCCATGCAGGAACAGCACATTCCAAGGCCTAGGGTTTGGGAATAATGGATTGGGGGGGGGGGATCCATACTGTAATACTGAGAGAAAAAAATCAAATAAGAATGACATGTAGCAGCATGGTTGCAACAGGAACTGTAGAGAAGTCTCTGTGGCCAGCATTTTTCCAAATGAACAGAAATTAAAAACGTTTTGTTCCCCCAGCGCTTGCCTCTTTCACTACAGCCAGAAAACTGGGTCAAACATTTCATCACGGCGTCCATCAAAACCTGTAGATCCCTTGGTGTGAGATAGTATGTGTGAGAAAGTGAGTGAGTTTTGCCATCTTATGTTTCATTTCTCCTGTGTTCACGCTGAAGCATTTTCATGCTTACTCTCTGATGAGAAACTCTTTTGACTTCTTGCTACAGTATTCCTTATTATTTCTTCACCTTGATGTTCTTGAAGGCCATAGGAAATATTAATCTAACAAACCAGTACAAGTACATAAATGATTGGTGGGTAAGCCACGTGGCCTCTCATGACAGCCTATCATTGAGCCTTGATCTGACGTCTACAAAGCTTTTGCCTCCTATGAACCCTGGGTAGGAACTGTCACCTACAGAGCTTCTAAATGACACAGAAAAATTATGCTTTAATGTTTTCCTAGGAATTGTTGAACTGGAGCACCTGGTTCATGGACAGAATTGGTTTAATACCTTCATCGTGTTGACCGTGAATGGTTCTTTAAGATGGTTCATAAAGCTGCAGCCTCCTCCAGCTGGGGACAATGGTTCTTCCTTTTTATGCGCTGGTTGGTGAGTGGGCAGATAAAAATGGAACATGACAAATTTTATTTCCGCTCACTGGTTGAAACAGAATTCCATTTTTCCATGGTTCCATGGGGTACAAGTGATGCAGGATAGGATATGTACACACAAGCACTTTGTTTACCAAGACTTGTGCTCCCCTTAGGTTTTCTTTTTTGCATATCCAATTTAATTCTCTCCCAGAAGCTTTTCAGAGGAGGGTGAACACGTTCCCTGTACCAGGTGACTTTTTGGTGTCTAGAATTGTTCCTAATTAGGACTGTTGACTGAATCTGCCTTATTGAAGTGTCCAATCATTCCTTGTCCTTCCTGTAGAATTTGAACCCACAGATGCCCGCATTCCATGATGGTTCTTTTATCTCTAAAGGAAGTTCTGCCTGGATTATTATAATATTAAACCTAATTTGGTGCAGCCTAGGACACCTTGGGCTGGAGTATGAGGCTGCTGTGTAAATGTTATTGTCACTTTTAACTGTTCTTGATCTCCTCAAGTAGCTGCATCTGTTGTCCTCTTGGTAAGATGGTTTTGTGAGTGTATGGGGTGGAGGGATTAAATCAAATTACAGAATTACTGTTCAGGTGAATAGATTTATTTACAAGGCAATAAATGAGTTTAACTCCATTGGGCTAATGCCACCTTTTATTTACATAACAAGTTTAAATGGGAGTTTTTTCACAGAAAATACTAACATTGCCTTTGTTAAATTAATTACATCCACTCAATTTTTTTCTTTAAGCATCAGCTATAATCTTTTTCTATAGCTGGGTTCACAGAACATATTCAGCGAAGCCAGTCAAACGCCCAGTGACTACATTCACATAGCATGCAAAATGTTGGTTAGATTTTTTATGTAGTTTAAGTAGTTTATGATTAATTGTGCTGTGGGCAAACCCACAAAATTGATTATTTCTACAACCAAGTGGAGCACCCTGGGCAAACTGAATTTGGGTTTATTTCTGTCCCTTTTTATTTATTTATTATTTATTTATTTATTAATCAGATTGATATGGCCACCCATCTCACGAAGTACAGCAATCAGATACAAACAACACATATATAAACAATCATGATAAAAATATAAAAGTCATTTACGAATCCCTCCTTCCATTCCAAGTATGTTCAATACAAGATCTTCTTGGCTAATTGCTTTCTGCCCAAACATTTTCAACTTCTCTTTCACGTGGGCTCCCTGATCCTGTATCTAACATAAACATTTGTACTCAGCCCAATATAACCATTAGAAATGGATCCAAGTAAATCAGGAGAAATTTCTGAGTTGACCAGGAGAAGGACTCCGTTTCTAATCGTCTTCAGATCACGTCCCAGCCAGCATCTCTTTGAAGATGCATCAGGTTCTGCATAACAGGCAATTTTATCACTTCCTCACTGCTTCACACCTGCTCAGAAAATCTCTGATAAATGGATGGTGGTTCTTCTATCTTCTGGAGCCTTGGTCAGAAAAGAATCAGAGGTCTAAAGGTCTTTGCGCAGCCATGCAAAAAGCATAACACTCAGCAAAAGGAGAAAGTAAAGCAATAACTTACATCAGTGTTTCTCAACCTTGGCAACTTTAAGATGTGTGGACTTCAACTCCATGGCTGGTGGGGAATTCTGGGAGTTGAAGTCCACACACCTTCAAGTTGCCAAGGTTGAGAAACACTACCTTATATGGCAAGAAAATTAACTGGGGTAGTAAAACCAGCAAGAGAGGCATCTTGAAAAGTGTAAGCCACTGATACAATTAAACCCAGATTTTGCCAAAATCACTAAATTCACTATTTGATGAATGTTTTCTTCTAAAGACAACATTTGCAATTCCTGTTGTTCCCAAGTTGCTGCAGGAGAAACATCTGCCACCCCTCCAAGACCTGAAGGGTGTTCCGGTGTTCACTGGTGGCACTTGCTTTAATGCGTTATTTATTTATGTGAACTCTCTTCCATAATAAGCACACTCAGAGGCATCTTTGGTTCCTCAAAGCCTTTTCTGATCAGTTTCTTCAGTGTAAACACCCCATTTCTATTCCTGGTGCAAAGCTACAAAAAGTGCTGAATGCTGGAAAATGCCTGGCCATCACATTCAGGCAAGCATACCTTCAATGCTTGGTCCATTTTTGATTTTTGTAGAGAGAGGAAGACTTGAGTCTAAAATCTTCAAACGTGTAGCAGATGGGGAAAGGCAGTTGAATCAGGAATACTGAGTAAAACATATAGATCTAGAATAGCTCACCTATTACAGTTAGTCCTTGTTTAGTGACTGCCTTGTACAGCGACCATTTGCAGTTATGACAGTGATGAAAAAGTAACTTTATGAGCAATCCTTGCATTTACGACCTATGCAGGTCAGTAAAGCAAAGGAAAGCTGAAGTCAGATCGTCGGCATAGTTGCAGTTTCACTTAGTGGCCACTTCGCTTAACCAAGTTCCAGGTCCCAATTGTGGTCACTAAACAAGGACTACCTGTATTTAGATCTATATTAACCAAAAAGGGGGGATAAAAATCAAATAATAACATCTGTAAAAATTATCATTTGCCAGTAATGAAAAATTGGTGGGAACATATAGTTGAAA